TAATGAGAATAAGGGAAATGTGTTTGACTGTCATGGCAATAATGCCAGAATGCAAAACAAAACAAAACAAAACAAAAAAGCCTAACATAGGCTTTATTTTTTTATGCAAAATGTACTGTGAGCTTTGTAAAATGTAAAATGTGACCTTACTGAGGTTCACCTAACCATCTTATATCAGAGTGACACATCACATTTGTCCCTGTGAATGATTTTGACTCTGAATCCAATTTGTTGTCAAGACTCCAAAGCTTAAAACCGCTGTTTATCATTCTGAAGAATGAGATTAAATTGAGTGCCTTCCTCCTCTGTCTCTGTGGTCTGTCCTTCCCTGCTGCTCATGACAGTCACAAGGTCTTCCACTGGCTGGCCCTCCTGCTCGGCGCTGCTGTAGCATTCATCTGTTTCTTTCTGTATGTTTATTTATTTATTTATTTTTCAGAACAAATGTACTCTTTCAATAATCTCGAGTCACAGTGGTCACAGCTGTGGCATAAACCACTACATACTGCAGTCTCAATGAGACAAAAACTGCCTTTTGAGTGACAGACATATCATTTCCCTCTGCCAAACACATCCAAGTCATGTACTGTACCCTCCTTTTATTCATTTTCATTAGCTTTACATGTGAAATTCAAGGGCATTGAGGCCACGCTCAGTGAACTCCAGTCTCACAAGAGCGAAAACGTCCCACATCCCTCATTAACACCCACAATGGTGAGAGAAATATGTTTTGTGTTTTGTTCCCAGCAAAGCAAGTGTTGAAGACAGTTGAACACAGAAATATAAAGGTGTGTCTTTTAAAGGAACATACCTGTCCTGACAGATGAGGTTCATTTTCAGAATACACCTCTTTTCACAGCTGTAAAATATTTGACCATTTTTTAAGCATATAATATAAAAATTAGTCTTCATTCCGAAGGTTTCTGTCCATTTTTCACCTACTACGAGTTACATTAGTTACAATTACATGTAAGTGCGCTACTCGCGATCAGCCGAACCGACTGATGTTTATATGAATTTACAATAAATATCTCAATATATACTGAAACTCTGCAATGCTCTTGAGAATTTACAGCTTGTATATATCTATAAAATGTATCCGCTGGAGCTGCACAAATGGCATAAAATGGCACTAATTTTGCCAAGTTTTGTCGAAAGGCGATACTTTTAATTGATAGCCTATTAACTGTAGATCATTTATAATTGTATTATTATTTATTAATTATTAAAGGTAAAAATGCTTTTTTTTTTGGTTGAAAATGGTTTTTATTTATTTGTTTGTTTTTTTCCACTTGCCCTAAAAAACCGAAAGGGGCACTGGTGATGACTTTTAATAAATAAATAAATAACAACATATGACCCCTTCAGACTGTCTATAAGGATTTACAATAAATATCTCAATAAATATTAAAACTCTTCAGCGGTCATGAGAAGTTAATACTTTATTAATAAAATACTTTATTTATTAAAAAAATTAATAAATAAAAAAAGGTCCTCCTCATCATTCGGACCAAATAAAATGTGCATGTTGTTGCACAAATGGCGTAAAATGGCACATTGTGGAGATTGACAATTTTTGTCAAAAGGCGATGAGTTTTCACAACTGATAATCATGTTTTTAATCATTATTAATTATTACATTTATTCATTATAAAATTAAATACAAACACTTTTTGGTTTGTTTGTTTTTTTTTTAATTGTACTTTTTGTTGTTGTTGTTGTTTTTGTTTTGTTTGGACCCTTCTTGCCTAAAATGTGGAGTGGGCACAGGTGAAAAATATTTTTTATTTTATTTTATTTTATTTTTTTATTTTATTTTATTTTATTTTATTTTATTTTATTTTATTTTATTTTATTTTATTTTATTTTATGTATGTATGTATGTATGTATGTATTTATTTATTTATTTATAGCCTCTTTAGACTTTCTCCAAAGGATGGAGCTGAAGGTCTGTTTGAAACCATCCTGTATTCTCAATTTATTCTTAATCCAAGCAGATTTGTAAATACTCATATGCATTTTTTTTTTATCTGACAGTGTAGATACATAATGAGTTGTACAGTGTGGTCAGGAAAAACATTAGTGATAAAATGGAGGAGGTGGCACCCACACATGATAGAATAGCTCTGAATATCTTGAACAGATTAATTCAAAATGCTTCCTTGGTAAACAAACCTTTATTTTGTCAGTTCTGTAGGCTGTTTTGTCCTGGTACTCTAGAATTAGTGGCGTGATAAACAATAGGCTGTGCTAGTACTGACAACAATAAAGGGTCATCCAGGGTTTGGCCACTAATTGGTCCATTATGCGAGATCATTCCAGCCTCTATTTCTCCCTCATCTTCTCTTCCGTCCATCTCTCACTCTCTCAGTTCTTTTTACTACAAACCCTCTGCAGACATAAATCAGTTGAAGAATAATTTAATTGCACATTTAATTAGCATGTTGATTGCCGTGGTGCAATGCACCATAAATAAAATCAGCGTTGAGCTTCTACTGTTGCTGGAGTGGACTGAATTGAAACAGACTGAGAAGACATTTCCTAGAATCTGATGTCCAGGGACAATTAGGCAGGAAGAAACGATTTCCTCATGGATTACATGCAATGCATCAGCCTGCGGCATATGCCGTTGAATTAGAGTGACAGCATTCAATACATGCGTGCAAATGATTTATCATGGAGACAATGTATATGGCCACTCACTACAGTGACCTTAGCTGTTCCAAGTTATTGCTGTTAACATTTAATGTGGCTAATATTGCTTTGAAAACATGCATATATTGAAATGTGTATCGGTGACCATATTTATGTTGTCTTGCATTGGCGGTCAATGCTGAAAGAAAATAATACCAGAGAATATTTTCAAGTGCAGACACTGCACATATACCATAAAAAAATGTAATGATGTTACTGTAAAGTACAGTCAAAAAGGTTTTATGAATCACATCAGTTATTACTATTACTGTACATAACTATCAAATAATTATGGGAGCATTCTTAAATGGTGTATTTTAACCAGCAGTATTCAACTATTCATATAGTAATGAATTTTAAACACAAATCAAAAGAAAACAAATAAGAAAATGAAGCCTGTTTTTAGGGCCATTAATGCTTTTGCATTATGACATTATTTAAATAACAATTAAACATATTTTCCCCAGTTCCCATCACTGTATTGTATCTAGAACATTTGATTTATTTTTTTTTTAATTCCTATTATTCTTAATGTCGTTATACTGTAATATGGCTTGTTTTTAGGATGTTACAGTAAAAATACTATATGATCTTTTTTGCATAAGGGTTGTGAAAATTCTGGAAGGTGTTTTAATTGTCATGAAAATGTCACAGTGCAAAGGAAATAAGTTAAAGGAATAGTTCACCCAAAATGGAACATTTGCTGTAAACTCAGATGAGTTTGTTTCTTCATCAGAACAGATTTGGAGAAATGTAGCATTACGTCACTTGCTCAGAGAATGGGTGCTGTCAGAATGAGAGTCCAAACAGCTGATAAAAACATCACAACAATCCTCAAATAATCCACACCACTCCAGTCCATCAGTTAACATCTTGTGGAGTGAAAAGCTGCATGTTTGTAAGAAACAAATGTAAGGCGTTTTATTTTTAAACATCACTTCTGTCCATAATCCATAATAACGCTTCCTCCAGTTAAAAAAAAGTCTATCCCCTGTTGTCCTCTCACATCAAAATCTACTGACATGTTTGTTTAGAAACGTTTTGGACTGTTTTTGCTTGTAAATGGTGCTTGAATTGTGCATACTTCTCCCCTGATTCAGATGAGATGAGTTCTTCACTGGAGAAAGCAATATTATGAATAGAGACAACGTATTTTAGCCAGAAGCAATGGTTAAAAGCATTTAGGATTTTTGTGAAAACAAGTGATTGTTGTGATGTTTTTTATCATCTGTTTGAACTCTCATTCTGGTGGCACCCATTCACTGCAGAGGTTCCATTGGTTTCCAATGAAGGAACAAACTCATCTACATCTTGGATGCCCTGAGGGTGTTTGGGGGATGAACTATTCCTTTAGGTCCTTTCATTTTTAATTTACTTTTATTTTTGGGGTGACAATTTTGTGCTTGTTAATGCCTATATAAACGTTTGAATAAATATACAATGTTATTATTACGCATTATTGTTGGATTGCATTGTAGAAAATATTATATTGTAATAAATATGCCTGTATATGTGGAAAAAGTGTCAAACACAAGCAATTATGGGTAACTTTGATGACCAAGAGTTAATGAAGCCTCACTCACCCCAAGACAAGAAACAAACCTGTCTCATTCTTTTCTTCCCTTGTAATTGTAATTGTATTGAATGTGCACTTGTAGTGTACTTTAACTCTTAAAAGTATATTTAAAAAAAAACTGTACTTGAAGATAATATAATATAAATTAAATGAAATAAAAGGCCACTTAAGTGTACTTATAGAGATAGTTCACCTTCAGCTGCTGGTCCCCATTGACTTGCATAGTTTTTTTTTCTCCATACTATGGAAATCAATGGGGACCAGCAACTGAAAGTGAACTATCCCTTTAAAGAGAGTACACTTTCATGACTATATTTCTTAACAGAGTTAAGCATGCTTTTAAAAAGTGATTATTTTTTATGTCAAATTAACATTTTTAAAGTACATTTTAAATCACTGTTTAATTTTCATTCATGCTTTAAAGAAGTACACCTGTTTTAATGTGTTGTAAAGTACTTGATTATAATTTGAACTGTAGTGTGAGAGTGTATCTTCACCAACTGTGATGCACCAAATTGGAATATGTGCATAAAGCTTTCAAATGTATTCCTTAATAATAAGAGCACAAGTTAAATGTTAAGTTACATTTATGGTGTTTTTTCCCCACCATTCACTGTCATTGTATGTATGAGAGAAGCATGAACATTCTGCTAAACCTCTCCTTTTGTATTCCACAGAAGAAAGTCATACAGGTTTGAAATGACATGAGCAAATGAGTACATTTTCGGGTGATCTATCCCTTTCATAGATGTTTAGGAATTTCTGCTGTTTGTCAGGGAAGAGAGGAGCAGGGGGATCTGTTTCCAGTGTTTCCATGACAAACATGTGCTTGACTGCTGATCCCAAAGTCCGTTGTGTGTGATCAAACGTAACGATGGTGTATGTGTGTGTGTCTACATACTCATATGTTCAGTGCAAACACATTTATACCAACCTTGTAAAATCCTCTTTGACCTTTAAGTTTTTGACATTGATAAATCTAGCAGGATGGCAGCATGTAGCCCTTTCCTCTGGGCCTCATCTGCGTTTCCTGTTTCGACAAGCGTTTTTGAGGGCACTCAGATCAGATCGTTCACCAAGGGTTTTTTTCATATGCCGTGCCTGCCGCCCCTCTCCCCCCGTCCCCTCGTCCTAGCACAGCCCAATGTACTTGAGATTGTTTTGGATGATCACGTCCGTCACCGCGTCAAACACAAACTGGATGTTGCTGGTGTCAGTGGCGCAAGTGAAGTGCGAGTAGATTTCCTTGGTCTCCTTGTTGCGGTTGAGGTCCTCAAACTGCCTTTGCACGTACACGGCCGCCTCCTCGTAGGTGTTTTGCCCCTTGTAGTCAGCGAAGCAGACGGTCAGCGGAATACGCTTGATCTTCTCGGCCAGCAGGTCCTTCTTGTTGAGGAAGAGGATAAGCGAGGTATTAGTGAACCAGTTGTTGTTGCAGATGGAATCGAACAAACGCAGGCTCTCCGCCATACGGCTCTGTGAGGAAACCAAAGACAAGAAATGGTTAGTTGAAGCGCTAACAAGGGATCTGGCTCCCTCGAGGGGAAAACCTCTGGAGTTGATGAAATCAGTAGCCTTTAACCTTGAAGAGAGCAAACAGGGTAACGTATTTAGCTCCGAGCGACACTCTAGATCTAGACGATGGGCTGAATGTCAATGGAGATGATCCAGTGTGAGGACAGCAAATCACTACAAGCTGGGACATTCATTGTTGTGGCAACAGGGGACAGACAATGTGCTTTAACTATTGCGTACTCAGGGTTATGAATTTGAACAAGCCTCTTAACCTAAGTATTAAAATTCTCATCTCGCACTGTTTGTGCTACATGAATGAGACCTCAAATCGTGTAGCTTGTTGAGGGAAAAGTGTGCTATTACTTTCTAAGCCATCAGAATTACAATTTTTAACTGTATTGTGTTATTCAATATTACATTTTAAGTTAATATATTTTAAATACACTAAATTACAACTTCAACATGACAAATGTGTAATTACAAACATATTTAAATAAATGACATACAAATTTCAATAGAAATTACGTTAAAGTATATTTAAGTTTACCTTAAATCTTTTCAATTCATTTGGCAGTACATTTTAACTATATTTCAAAGAAATAGAAGCAATTAGGAAGTTACTTATAAAGATGTATTTAGGTCAATACTTAAGTGGGTCAAAAAGGTTTAGCTAATCGCATTTAATATACATTTGAACTATAATACATTTGCATTTAATTGCAATTAACATGCAATCAAATGTCCAAAAATGATACATTCCATTTTCACTCAAGTATTTACTTTTATAGTATTTTCTTTCCTAAAATAAGTACTATTTTGAACATTATGTACTTTTTTTTTCTTCACAGTTTTGAAGCTTTTTTTTTTCATTCTTACATTGTTTTGGCATAATAATTTAACTGTCATTTGAATGATGACACACATAAGTGTTGTGTAAGTTACTTTCAAAAAGTAATTAATTACTAATTACATCATCAATATTGTTTTTAAATTACTTTTCTGATTACTCTGCCTGACAAGTAATTTAATTACTCAGTAAGTAATTTTAATTATTCAAATCGCTAATTGTATCTTAAAATCCCTATTAACCTCAAAGCATATACAATAGAAATGAAACTCTTTATTCTTTCCATTTGAGTCAAACATGGAATAGTTTAGCCTTTTAGTTTTAAAACAACTGTAATAATTAGTAGATCAATAAACACTAATCTAAACATTCCTAGACTGTAACATTCATCATGCTACAATGTAAACATTCCCATTACTTAATATCTATGTCGTACCTATTATAAATCATTTTTATTATATGATAGCAAAAAAATTATATCCTCGTTTCGTATACGACATTTAGGCTATATGTAATAAAAAAGTTGCCTATATATCTGAATGTATATTTCACTCGCTTGCACACATTTCAGTTTGGGAAGATGTTTAGGAAAAGCCCAACTAGCAAAGTCAGTCCAAGTTTAGGTTAAAATAACACGTTAACTAATGTAAGTAAGAATAAATTACAGAAATTAGATCCTCTGCTGAATAAAGCCGCGTCAGATCACACTGTTCTTCTAAAGGTAAATTCCGGCGTATTCCTCATAGCAGGTCTTCTTCCAAAAACGATGAAAAATAGATGAATCTTGATTTTTTTTAAATCTAGTTTTGTATCTAAGTGATGAGGGCGTTTGCGTGCAGGTATGGCTGAGCTCAGAGAAGGGAAGGCTGTACCTCGCTTTAGTTTCATACGGATTACATAATCAGAGAATATTTGTTTTCGATTTGAATTGGTTCATTTAAAAGTGGACACTTTATAAGTTTTCTATTGACATATTTCTTACAACTGTGTGTCAAGTATTTGCTGAGTTTCGATTCATTTTGTGACGTGTTTCAGAAAGAAGTTCACGCGGAGACAAAAACAGCAGAAAGCGCATCCTGTTTGATTTGTTTATTTTACAAAAGCACAATGTTTTGTTGTTATTGTGAGTAAACACAAATAAAATTATACCCTTTGTAGATTATAGATTGTATCTGAGTATTTTAGGTTCTTTTCTCTGTTATAAGGAAGAACTGCAAGTGAACGCGCCAGCGCGCAGAGGGTTAAAAATGCTGCATTCAAATTTAACTTTAGATGATAAATGTAGATTTCAAATTCAATATTGATTTTAGAACTGTTGAAATTATTTACAGTATGTAACGCAAGTACTTTATAAGTAACTGTGATTAAATGACCTAAAAATGAACAGTTGTCACGAATCAGGTCCATGAACTTCCAATTTCATTGACTCTCGCACTACACACTGTTGCACATCACCCCGGACTACATTTCCCATCATGCATTGCACTGATTGCACTCAGCACGGATTGCACACAGCTGTTAACACTGATTGCACCCAGCTGTTTCATATCACTCCCTCACTATATAACACTCACTCTTATCCCTTCCCTCTGCCGAGTATTGTTTCAGCGTTTATCACTCCCCTAGTGATAGCTACACTACAGAGGCCTTAGCCTTAGCCTTAGCCTTAGCCTTAGCCTTAGCCTTAGCCTTAGCCTTAGCCTTAGCCTTAGCCTTAGCCTTAGCCTTAGCCTTAGCCTTAGCCTTAGCCTTAGCCTTAGCCTTAGCCTTAGCCTTAGCCTTAGCCTTAGCCTTAGCCTTAGCCTTAGCCTTAGCCTTAGCCTTAGCCTTAGCCTTAGCCTTAGCCTTAGCCTTAGCCTTAGCCTTAGCCTTAGCCTTAGCCTTATTCTCGGTTTCTGATCTTCGCCTGGTTTCCTGGATTTCTCCCCTAGTCTTGTCCCCTCTGATTCTGTCTGCAGTTCATTGACCCACGCTAGCCCTAGGATTATTCTTGTGTTTTGCCCGCCATATACCTGTCTGCCTCAGATTGACCCTGCCTGCTTCATGACCATGTCTCTGTCTTCTCCACAATATAAGCTTTGCGAATGGATCCGCACGTCTCACGTCTCGTCAGCCCTGTAACAACAGTAATCCCTTACTTTGCTTTTTCAGTGGATGAGTAATTTAATTACAGCAATGTGTAACATAGTAACACGTTACACCCAACCCTATACTTTATCTAAAATGCAAGATGATTAGAAGAGTATGGCTCCAATGTGTATGTCTCCAACACTGAGTATGGCTCCAAACATCAGTCAGTATTTAGGTAGATAAACCAGGCCATAACAGGGCCCGTTGAAAATAATTGTCCCTTTCTGCAAAGAATAAAATGCATAATAACTTTCTAAACTTGAAAAAAAAATCCAAAAATAAGATTAAAAGCCAAACACAACAAAATCCTTAAAGGAGAAACAACAAGCAAAAGCAGCTCACAGAATCATGTCGATTTCAGCAAGCATCATATGGCCAAGCGAGGTTATTAACCTCTAATTCTCCAGCCCTGCTGAGTTCCCTATCTAATTCAATTAGTCACCTGCCCATGTTCAATTACCTTGCTGTGTTTGCCAGCGTAATGCCCATAAAACAAAGGCAGAGGACAGGATGCAAATAACACCCATGAAATGCACAGAACCATTTCGCTGGCGACATCAGCTGAGCCTTTTACGATACCATCATCCATCCATTAATGCATTTTAATCCCAGAAAATGTGCTTTCTGCAAATATTTCAATGGTTACAGTGTTTACTAAACATAATTTACTGTATAATCTACTTTAGCTGCATAGGTAAGACTATAAGACCACATTTAAAGAAGGCACATCAAAGTCTGCAAGTCAACATATCCCATAACACGATAAGAAGTATACAATTATCAATTATTGATTACATAGTGTGCAGCGTTTACCACATTTTGTGTTGTGTGTGTGCTCCCCTCCCATAGCGTGAGCTGCAATGACTGCAGGCACGTGGTTGGGACGAGCAGCTTGTGACCGAGTGAGGAATCTGATATGAAGACTGGGCCGCTGTTTGAAAGGTTACACAAAACGTTATCGTGCTTTAAGCAAATCACGAGATCATCTACGAGAGAGTGAGAGTGGGTTTCATGGAGACATGAATAAAATCAGTGAAGTATGTGAAAATTATGAAGGAAGAGTTGCTGTGATTAAGAAAAAGTATTGACCTCGTCAATGAGGCTCTTTCAGATTTTTAGTCTCCTTCTTTTGCCTTAATGCAGCACCAAGGTTATTCCTGCTGGTCCTGGAGCAACGTTCCCATCGACCAGACAGATATGAGGGTTAGATTTAAGATTTGAGGTTTAAAGTGGTTTTTAAATTTTTTTATCGAGGATCCTCAAGTATGACTCCCTCGTGATGGACCTCGTTCCTAAAAACAAAATAACGACTACATATTTTTATGTATGAATACATATTGATACTGTACACTGAATAAAAATGGTATTGAAACAATTTTCAGGTGTTTCAGAGGTGAAATTTCACAAATATTTATAAAGAAATGACCACTACGGTTATACATTGAAATAAACATGAAATTCTGAAGCAGAAATACCGAAATAGTATTTTCTTGTAAAAATGTACTCCAATGGGCTTTTTTAAATATTTACAACTTCAAATTTATTTTACAGTATATATGAAAGCTAATTATTTAGAAAACCTGGAAAATATTCACTAACATTATTATTGTATTAAATGTGTTTTTCTATTTAGTCTTTTTTCAACCCATTGAAAATATTTAGTTCAATTCAAATGTATTTCTATAGCGTTTTTCACAATAGATTTCAATAAAATCAATTCTTACTGTTAAAAACCTGACTGTAAATAAAATAACTGATTAAACTCCTGATTTCAGTCTCAAGAAATCATAATGAAATTATTGTTAAACATATTTTGTTAACATTCAACACTGACAGTTCTACAAAATACATTTTGTCAAATGTTTAAAGAGGTCATATGATGCAATTTACATTTTTCCTTTCTCTTTGGAGTGTTACAAGCTCTTGGTGCATAAATAAGATCTGTAAAGTTGCAAAGACTAAAGTCTCAAATCCAAATAGATAT